GATTCAATGCCTTGATGTTATATTGGAAGACACCGATGTGGTAAAAGCATTAAATGAATACGTCTTGTATGCTGCAATCGATAACTTGGTGCTCGGGGTTCCTACGAAACATGGATTTATTAGGTAGTCATTTTCATTGATTCGTCTTTGGTTTAGGGTTGGTTTGGAATGACTTTTTCAATACGAAACACAACTTTGGCGCTTGAACAGTCATTCCGAACAGGTCATTAGAATTTTACATTCCTCGAATCATTATGGAAGAATGTGAATTCTCCCATCTCCAGTTTCTCCAAAGGCTTATGATGGGAATTGGTGATTTTCATAGTAGGTTCAAGACATCGAGCGTGGGAGGTAGCGTGTCGAAAGGGGCACCAGATTTCTGCACTGTGTATGTCATCTCAAAGGGGAAGGTGTCGTCAGTGAGAAATGCATCTCGCTCAGCTCCCTCTTTTTCTCCTCTACATGAACATTTACAGAAATTATCCAAGCCGATCGTACAGGGAGCAATCACTCCTCGACATAAGTTTCTTCTAAGAGGTTTGTTCTTCGTGCTGAACTCAATTCCAAGCATTTTGTGTATGGTAATGAAGAAGTTTTATTGTGGCAAGTTTTCAAATTTGTTCTTTGGATAGTTCTATTTGATAATTTGAGTTTTTTCCCATCAGCACAACCCAAAACAACTAATTTAAGGACTAAACGCAGATGAATGATTTACATTTTTAAGGAGTTTGGGTCAATGGGACTTGTATTAATTCTTCTTTTGTATGCAGATAGGGCATCGTTCAAGCCTCGCACCATTCACGATGAATTAGTCAAGTAAGTTGTGCTAAACTAGAGCTTGCGGGTTATGTTTTGGAAGTTGTAAGATGTGCATAGACTTTCTCTCTAATTGGAATAGGTCACCTATCTCTCACGGAGGAGAGAGAATTTCTATCACGAAATGTAGCGGAGGGTTCTTTGAGACAGAATCCGACATATCCTTTATAAGCTCTGGCAGACCAAGCATGGATCGTACTTCTGTTGCATTCGACTACTCTGATTCAGCTCCCTCGCGATTTTCAACCAGTTCAGAGAGTAGCTTTACATCTCTACCATTTCAACCAAAATGGACAGACCTCAATAATCTCAATGATTTCTCATCAGTTTCAGATGAGAGCTGCAGGACACCATGTTCCTGGTCATCTCAGAACTTGGTCAGCATAGATTATCTTTACTTGTATTGACTAAATTATATGATGCTAGTTCTTGATATTTTCAATTACATCTCACAGGATGAAGCAGAACTTGAAATGAAGAGGTTGAAGCTAGAGCTTAAACAAACTATGGAGATGTACAGTACAGCATGTAAAGAAGCACTAACAGCAAAGCAAAAGGTTTATATATGTCCAGATTTAAGTCATTTTTTGAATGTCAAGAATCAATCTTTCAGTTATATCATAAGTTTTCCCATAGGCAATGGAACTGAATGATTGGAGACGTGAAGAACAACAAAAACTAGAAGAGGCACGACTTGCTCAAGAAGCAGCAATAGCTATTGCAGAGCAGGAGAGAGCGAGATGCAGAGCAGCAGTGGAAGCAGCTGATGCAGCTAAGAGAATTGCAGAGTTAGAATCACATAAAAGAGCAAATCTAGAGATGAAAGCACTTAAAGAAGCAGAGGAAATGCAGAGAGCATTGAAAAATGTTACACAAAGTGACATCAGATACAGGTTATATTCAATTGAGGAGGTTGAATTGGCAACGGAACGTTTTGCACCATCTCGGAAGATAGGAGAGGGAGGTTATGGACCTGTCTTTCGTTGTCGTCTTGATCACACATCGGTTGCGGTCAAGGTTTTGCGTCCTGATGCATCTCAAGGGAGGAGTCAGTTTCAGCAGGAGGTGAGGAACTTAAAACAACTTTGGGATCATTTTTTAAGAGCAAATGATTTAGTTGGATATTGTAAATGCAGATTGATATATTGAGTTGCATAAGGCATCCCAACATGGTACTTCTTCTAGGAGCATGCCCGGAATATGGCATTCTAGTGTACGAGTACATGTCCAACGGAAGTTTGGAGGATCGACTCTTCCGAAAGGGGAACACCCCTGTTATTCCTTGGCAATTGAGGTTTCGAATTGCTGCTGAGATTGCTACTGGCCTTCTGTTTCTCCACCAGACAAAGCCAGAGCCATTAGTGCACCGTGACCTCAAGCCAGCTAACATATTGCTGGACCACAGCTATGTTTGCAAGATAAGCGACGTCGGTTTGGCTAGGCTTTTACCTGCCGTGGCCGAGAATGTAACACAATGTTGCATGACTTCGGCCGCTGGAACTTTCTGCTATATAGACCCTGAGTATCAACAAACTGGAATGCTTGGGGTTAAATCTGATGTGTATTCACTAGGTATCATGTTGCTTCAACTAATTACAGCCAAGCCGCCCATGGGGTTGGCTCACCAAGTCGCTCGCTCTATTGAGAAGGGGACTTTTCAGGAGTTTCTGGATCCAGCTGTGACTGATTGGCCAGTGGAACAAGCACTTTGCTTCGCTAAATTAGCACTTCAATGTGCAGAACTTAGACGAAAAGACAGACCAGATCTTTGCAGTGTTGTGCTGCCAGAACTTAACAACTTGAGAGAATTTGGTGAGAAGAATATGGAGCACATGGTGTCATGGGCTCTTAGTGGATCTTTGAGCGGTTTTAGCAATGCCTCAATGGAGCAGGTTAGTATGCAAAATTTTAATTGTTGTTGGGTAGTGTATAGCTTTCAATTTGGTTTTTGAAAATTTAGACCTCATTTCATAACATTCATATGTTTCATAATTTAGTCGCTAAATAAAGTAGAACTGTTCGATAACGTTCTTGTTTCTGATTCCTAGCTTTTGGAAAGAAGTTCGGAATAAATTTGTTTGTACATGCAAGTTCAAGGACCAAAAGTTGTCAATAGTTAATAATCATTGGAAACGGTTCAATACAGGATATAATGAGCGACCCGCACCTAATGATGACTTCAGAAAGTTCCAAGGGCCAGTCTAGTGCATCGTCACAGGCAGGAGGAGACTGAGGTACCATATTACTTCTACAATCTATCGCCCCTCTTGGCCTTTGGCCTAACCAAGGTGCAGTTAGATATACATATTAATATTGAACATAAAGTTGATATCTATGTAACTTATCATGCCACTTTTCTCAGCCCATTCTTCTTGCCAACATGATTTCTTAATATCTACCCCATGATGTTCCTTCAAAAATGTGTGTGCACATGAAGGTTGAGAGCTGTTTTACTTATTTGAGCTTCCCTTGTACTTTAACTTCATTTCTGAAAAATTCAGAGCTTCTCATTGGTGTTCTTTCTAGTTTATCTGCTTACTATTACGTTAGTGAATTGGAAAGTCTTGGTTTCTGGTTTTGAAGGTTCTTTTTTTGCCAATAATCAATGAAAAGTTTATATCTTGTTTAAAAAAAGAAGCAGGAGAGCTGACAAAACACTTCAATATGATCTTCTCTAAATCCTTTCCCTGAAAAGATTACACAATATCGTCCACCAACATCACTAGCTTGATGTTCTTTATTTAGTGTACAAAACCATATGATACTTCATGCGTTCTTGTCTGCTACTAAGCCTTATCCAAAGACTTCTATTACTATTTTCTCGGAGGCTCGATTTCTCACACCTCCTTTCATCGTCTATAAATACCATATTAGATTGAGTTCATAAGCAACACCAGTCTTCATTTTATTCTTATCTCAAGGTGTGTTGAGATATTCTAGTAATTTGTTTGGGTCTCCCATTTATTGTATCCGAATAAAAACATGAGACTTCTTCAGCTTCTTCGACGACCGTCAACCTCAACGAAGGAAGGAGTTACAGTAGTTCCAAAGGGCTACTGTGCGGTCTATGTTGGAGAGATCCAAAAGAAGCGTTTTGTCATCCCTGTAACTTACTTGAACCAACCATGTTTTCAAGACTTGCTTAGTCAAGCTGAAGAAGAATTTGGTTATTATCACCCTATGGGTGGCCTTACCATTCAGTGCAGAGAAGATATCTTCACCAATCTCATTTCTCAGTTAAATAGGCCATGAGAGGCACTAACCTTTTAGATCAGGGATATTAGGCATGCTCAGATCCATGCACTCTTTTTCTTTTCAATTTGCTCCAACTTTTTGTTTCCTTCCATGGGGAAGTCTAGAAAATGTTTCCCTGCATAAGGAAATTGTTAATGGATGCAATTTTACTGTAATCTAAGTATTTGACAGAGATTCTCTCTTCATTTGATTTCTTGATAATAGTCTGATCTTTCAAGAAGAGTTGCTCTCATTTCATAATTTTTTTGACGCTGTAGTTTTTTCTTATCGATTTATACGTTCGGTTAAATAGTGTACTATTCACCATCCATGTAATACCTATAGCATTCCATTTGCTTCAATGTAGTAATATTTGCTCAGTGAGTAACTCTGTACTTCTTTATTTTTAAAAACGTTTTTGTACGATAACTCAAGTAGTATCGTGAGAGTTCGAGATTCAATATTTATTATGAAGTATTTTCTTGTACTTACATGTTTCTGATGTATGACGGTACCTGTTCGTATGACTTTTCCGAGCTCTGAAACTATCAACAACCAACAAAGTTCCTATTTTAGTTGAAATCCTTCATGAGGAAGAAATTGTAAGACATGGCTATGTAGTGCAGTTAAATATTGTGTCAACTGCCTAGTCTCTATCAATTATCATCTCACCAGGAGGACAACAAAGCATTAAGTGCCTCTAATATGTCTATGATCCTACTGAAATTTCCTTAGTTGTACTGCATAAACAAAAGTTGGCCAGCTATGATGTTTCTGCATAAGGATCCAGAATGGCCCATGTAACTCGTGAACTTGAAATTCTTGTGTCTTGAAAGACAAAACCATGTGATTGTTCTTCATCTAGTTTCTTTCTTCATTGAATACAACCTTCTGCCTTGTCGATATTTCTAACTCCAAGAAATCTCACCCTCCATTTATATATAGAGTCATGTAATTGGGTTCACAAGCAAGTCTTCCACATTCCCAATCACAAGAAATCTCCTTTGACAACCCTTTAAGGAAAAATATCATACCATGGGGTTCCGGTTGCCTAGTATTATTCACGCTAAGCCAAGTCTTCGACATTCTACATCATCAGGAAATGGAGCCTCTCCAAAGTATGTAGATGTTCCAAAAGGGTACTTTACAGTCTATGTCGGAGAAGGACAAAAGAAGCGTTTTGTCATCCCGCTATCTTACTTGAACCAACCTTTGTTCCAAGATTTGTTGAGTCAAGCTGAAGAAGAATTTGGATACGATCATCCAATGGGTGGCATCACAATTCCCTGCAATGAAGACGATTTTGTTAATCTTAATCGTAGTTTTAGTGAGCCATGAGCCATAAGAATAGAGTTTAGAAATAGATGGTACAATGGAAGGAATAGAATAGAATAGAATACAACATAGACTGAGAAGGGCATAAACACTTTTGAAATCAAACTCATTCTTTTAGAATATTGTACATTTATGTTTATTTTGTAACAAAAACCGTGTAAATGATATCATTTGGACAATGTTCTTTTTCTTCCTTTTTTTTGTTTTTTTACCATTATTGCATTTATTACTATGATTAGCAATGTATTGATCATGTCTTTTAAAAAACGGAACAAACAAAACACCAGATTATGCTTTGGAATTCAAGAGGGGTTAAAACAAAAGAATCTACTCTAGATTCCTTCCCACATATTTAATTCTTGTTGGTGATCCCTTGTAGATTGCTCACCAAGCAATGAAAGCTAATTTTGTACACCAACTAAAATACACTGCCAATCAGAACCGAAGTTATAGACGAAAACTTAGAAAACAGAAGCATGTGGAATGCATAAATGATTTGTACAGTGATACTATTTTCTCCTACATTTAATTGAAAGTGGTGGGCTTTCTAGGATGATCATTCCTGAACAATTGTGAACAATACGCGTGAGAACAGATATACAATCTCAATCACTACCCAACTCTCTATAAAGAGTTAGAAGGCAGGTCCATGTGATGCTTCTGTTCAGACCAAACTGGCTCCCACAGAACCTAGCCATTCATTGGCTTTCCTCTCTATTAGTCCATCTATGTATGCATACATATTACTTTGTCTTGAAGCCATATCATATTCTTTTCTGGGAACCTTCTTTTTTAAGTTTATACAGAGTATTCAAGATCAAGGAGGGTAGATTATTTGGTTATCAGATTGGGTACCTTTGTGTCGTGATGCCTAGTGTCACTAGTGCACTTTTTAAGGACTTGTAAAGTGATTGTGCAATACTTATTCTTGTCCTTGAGCAAGTCAATAAGCTTGAATTTGGAACACTGGTGGAATAACGATCAATCTCACAATCTCCACCCCTGTTTTTGAGAAAAAGACCTTTAGAGAAAATTTTAGAGGTTTACTCAACTCACTTCCGGTTGTTATTTGGAGACAAAAGTAGGCCATGGTTTTTCTGCGGAGTATACAGAATGACCATATATCACATGAATTTGGAACTCTCACAAAGGCTTGGAAGGCCCACCCATGTGATAGGTTATGAGAAAGTATCTCTCTAGCATTGAATCTCATCTTTCTGCCTTGTCAATGTGATCATCTATATAAAGGTCATGTAATTGGGTTCACAATCAACAAGACTCTTCCACACTCCGGTTATCAAAAGAAATTTCCAACTTTTGTACTTCTCTCAAAGTCTAACTAGTTCCTTTCAGAAAATACTATAACATGGGATTCCGTTTGCCTAGGATTGTTCATGCTAAGCAAAGTTTTCGACGATCTTCATCAACTGGAAATGGATCATCCACTGTTGACATTCCAAAGGGTTACTTCACAGTTTACGTTGGTGAGGTACAAAAGAAGCGTTTTGTCATTCCACTATCTTACTTGAACCAGCCTTCTTTTCAAGATTTGTTGAGTCAAGCAGAAGAAGAATTTGGATATGATCATCCAATGGGTGGCATCACAATTCCTTGCAGTGAAAAAGAGTTCCTCCTCGATCTCACTCGGAGTTTGAATGACTCGTGAAGTAGAGATTAGCATTCAGAAATAGATTGTATAGAAAATGAATTAGAATCTAGAAACAATGTAAACTTTTTTGAAATGAGGGAACTTGATTCTTTTGATTATTGAAACTATATGATATCGGTGAATGAAAGTTCATTCTTCCTTTCCTCTTACCCTTCACACTACTTGTAATATACCGTGGTTCTGTAGTTCTCATATGGAAAAGTAATTTCCTGACTTTTCTTCACTAGAAATAAATGCAAATAATTTCATCAAGATTGAAAAGGGTGCAAATCTAGAAAGTACTCAAAATATCATATTAAGAAGCTGGACTAATATTAGATTATGCACTTGATTCAGGTGAGGCTTATACTCATGAATCTACCACAGTTTTAAGCGGGATCCATGTAGGGACATTTGAATGAAATGGAAACCTTCTTTCTTTTCTCCCATCTATCACAAGGGGGCCCTCGGGCTCAGGGACAAGTTCAGGAGAAATTACATTAGATAACGATATTCTTTCTCCAATTTCGCTCGCCTGGAGTCGAGCTCAAATTTTGGGCCCTCTTCCGAAAGTATTGGTAGCTGAGAACATGCTATAGATGATAAAGTCAGAAAACAGAACCATGTGCTATACATTAATGACTCTAATATACTGCCACTATTTTTCCTTGGTTTTATATGTAAGTGGGGTCCTTTTTAGGATGTTTATTCTAGAATGGTATGGAAAATTTGGATACCAACATGTACAGTCACAGTCGCAACCAATTGCTATTAATCAGTCTGAGAACACACCCCATGTGATGATTCTAGCCATATGCTCTACTGTTCATCCCACAGTGGTAACAACATTAGCTTAGCCACATTTAGTACACTCTTCACCATTTACTTCTTCACCATTTACTTCTTCACCATTTTCTGGTCACCTATATAGACATATATCAGTCATAGAAGGAAATCTTCTTATACACAATATTCATGTAGCTAGCAGATATTGTCCGCTTTGACCCGTTACGTATCGCCATCAGCCTAACAGTTTTAAAACGCATCTACTAGGGAGAGGTTTCCACACCCTTACATGGAATGTTTCGTTTCCCTCTTCAACTAATGTGGGACCCACAATCCTCCCTCTTTGGGGGCCCGACGTCCTTGTTGGCACACCGTCCGGTGTCTAGCTCTGGTACCATTCCATTTGTACTTGCCCGAAGTCACCGCTAACTAGTAGATATTGTCTACTTTGGCCCTTGCGTATTGTCATCAGTCTTACGATTTTTAAACGCGTCTACTAGGGAGAGGTTTCCACACCCTTATAACCAACAAACTTCTCTTAGCTGGAATCGTTCCCATTGAAGTGGAATGTAACAGACAGAGGTATTAAATATTGTTTCACAAGAAGGACAACAAGGGCCTTGAGTGCCTCTGATATGTCCATTATCCTATTAAAATTTTAGAGATTTGTTGAGCTCACTTCTCCAGTTGTTTTTGGGAGACAAAAGTAGGCCATGATGTTTCTGTATAAGGCTGGGAAGACACCCATGTGATAGGTCATAAAGCTAATGCCTCTTCACCATTGAATCTCATCTTCCTTCCTTATCTCCAATCTCTACCTTTGATTGACCTAAGCTCTCATCTATATAAAGGTTATGCCATTTGGGTTCACAGCCAACAAGAGTCTCTCCATATTCCAATTCCCAAAAGAAATTTCCAAGTTATTTTTGGAGCATATTTGAAACATGGGTTTCCGTCTGCCTAGAATTGTTAGTACTAAGCAAAGTCTTCAGCGATCTTCATCAACAGGGAATGGAGCATCTCCAAAGGCTGTCGATGTTCCAAAGGGATACTTCACGGTTTATGTTGGTGAAGCACAAAAGAAGCGTTTTGTCATTCCACTATCTTACTTGAACCAGCCTTCGTTTCAAGATTTGTTGAGTCAAGCAGAGGAAGAATTTGGATACAATCATCCAATGGGTGGCATCACAATTCCTTGCAGTGAAGACGATTTCCTCGATCTCACTCGGAGTTTGAATGACTCATGAACTAGAGAGATTAGTATCTAGAATTAGATTGTAGAGATAAATGATTAAACTGTATATACTTTTTGGAATGAGAGAACTTGATTCTTTGAATTGAAATTGTTCTACATTGTTCATAGCTCTTTTAATGATCTATCCTATAGTGCAAAACTTTTAAGATGGTTTGCTCAATATCTCAGAAGGTCTCAGCAAGGTTGAAAAAGGTAGAAACCAAATTATGTTTAAACTCATTGAATTCCCACTCAAGAGCCTAATTATCATTGATCAAAGTACTGATAATGTCTAATCAAAAAGCTGGACTGAGATTATTACTCATAAATCTACCACAGATTTATGTGGGATCCTAATGGGGTTGTTAACTAAACATTAGTAGCTGAAATTGTACACCTACCAGTAACCACTACCAATGAGAACCATGTTATGGATGTTAAGCCAGAAAACAGAAACATGTGCTGTTCATTAATGACAGTAATAGATGGCCACCATATTTCCCCATCTTTATCTGAAAGTGGGGTCCTTTTTAGGATGTTCATTCTGGATAGTAGTGGACTATGTATGCTAACAAATTCTCTATTACTCAATTTGAAAGCTAACCCATGTGATGATTCCTGCTATATGTTTCCACTGTTCATTCTGCAGTGGCACCCACATTAGCATAGCCACATTTTGTAGACTCTTCATCTGTATTGTTAATTTTGTATTTAATAGTTCTCTATACTTCCAAGTTCATGAGTTACGTGGGCCATTCTGGATCTCGTGTTTAATAGATCATGTAACCTAATGCAATTAAAGTTTAGTTCTAGCAGAAGGACAACAAGGGTTTGAGTGCCTCTATGTCTATAATCTCATCAAAATTCTAGAGGTTTACTCAACTCACTTCTCCAGTTGTTATTTGGAGACAAAAGTAGGCCATGGTTTTTCTGCGGAGTATACAGAATGACCATAGATCACATGAATTTGGACTTCTCATAAAGGCTTGGAAGGCCCACCCATGTGATAGGTTATGAGAAGATCTCTCTAGCGTTGAATCTCATCTTTCTGCCTTGTCAATGTGATCATCTATATAAAGGTCATGTAATTGGGTTCACAATCAACAAGACTCTTCCATACTCCGATTATCAAAAGAAATTTCCAACTTTTGACTTCTCTCAAAGTCTCACTAGTTCCTTTCAGAAAATACTATAACATGGGATTCCGTTTGCCTAGGATTGTTCATGCTAAGCAAAGTTTTCGACGATCTTCATCAACTGGAAATGGATCATCCACTGTTGACGTTCCAAAGGGGTACTTCACAGTTTACGTTGGTGAGGTACAAAAGAAGCGTTTTGTCATTCCACTATCTTACTTGAACCAGCCTTCTTTTCAAGATTTGTTGAGTCAAGCAGAAGAAGAATTTGGATATGATCATCCAATGGGTGGCATCACCATTCCTTGCAGTGAAGACCTTTTCCTTGATCTCACTCGAAGTTTGAAAGACTCATGAGCTAGAGGGATTGATATCTAGAAATTTGTAGCATAGAAAAAGGGTTAGAATAGTACATAATGTAGACCGTAAACACTTTTGAAATGAGAAACTCGATTCTTTAAATTGAAACTTTTGTCCTGTGTTCGTTATTCTATAAATGAACAAAATTTGATGATGAAACTGCTTGAAGGGTGTTATTTGCTAAAAAGACCTGCATAAACTGGATTATACTACTTAAAATGGCTACATGTAGTCCTACATGATAATCCTTCTGCATCTACTTGAAGTGGAAGCTCCCTTGGAAGTTTCATATTGAATCTTCAAGAAATTATCCTATAATACACGATTATTTAGATGATCTCAGCAAGATTGAAAAACATAAAGACAAAACTCAGAATTTGTTAGCTCAAGGTTGCCATGAAATACGAAAAATCAATTAGCTTTGAATCATTGGATTCTTGAGAGACTAATCACTACGGTTAGCATAGTGTTCATGGTGTTCTATCAAGAAGGTGCACTGATATTAGATTATGAACTTGATTCAACTGAGGCTAATACTCATAAACCTACCACATATTTTAGTAGGATCCTTGTAGGGTTGTTCACCATGTAATGACAGCTAAAATTGTTTATTTCCCAAGACAAAACTACCAATAAAAACCATGTTATTGAGGATAAGTCAGCAAATAGAGCTTGACAAGAAGGGCTTCAATGCCTCAAATATGTCTGATCCTTTTAAAAATTTTAGAGGTTTATTCAACTTACTTCTTTAGTTGTCATCGACAAAAGTAGGCCCTGATGTTCTGCAGAAGGTATACCGAATGACCTTATATCACATGAATTTGAAAATCTCATAATGGCTTGGAAGTAACATCCATGTGGGTAGGTCTTGACCTGATGTCTCTCTACCATTGAGTCTTATCTTCTTGTCTTGTCTAGATCTTTGAGTAACCCAAGTCTTTCTTCTATATAAACGTCATGTATATGGATTCACAACCAACAAGAGTCTTTCCATATTCCAATTCTCCGAAGAAATTTCAAGTTTGGTATTCCTTCCGCAGTCTCATATTTATCTTGGAACATATTGCAACATGGGTTTCCGTTTGCCTAGAATTGTTCACGCTAAGAAAAGTCTTCAACGATCTTCATCATCAGGAAATGGAGCATCGTCAAAGGCTGTCGATGTTCCAAAGGGCTACTTTACAGTTTATGTTGGTGAAGCACAAAAGAAGCGTTTTGTCATTCCACTATCTTACTTGAACCAGCCTTCTTTTCAAGATTTGTTGAGTCAAGCAGAAGAAGAATTTGGATATGATCACCCAATGGGTGGCATCACAATTCCTTGCAGTGAAGAAGAGTTCCTCCTCGATCTCACTCGGAGTTTGAATGACTCGTGAAGTAGAGATTAGCATCCAGAAATAGATTGTATAGAAAATGAATTAGAATCTAGAAACAATGTAAACTTTTTTGAAATGAGGGAACTTGATTCTTTTGATTATTGAAACTATATGATGAAAGTTCATTCTTCCTTTCCTCTTGTCCTCTGTAGTTCTAAAATGAAGAAGTCATTTCCTGACTTTTCTTCCAGAAATATATGCAAATAATTTCATCAAGATTGAAAAGGATGCAAATCTAGAAAGTACTCAGAATATCATATTAAGAAGCTGGACTAGTATTAGATTATGCACCTGATTCAGGTAGGCTAATACTCATGAATCTACCATAAGTGGGATCCATGTAGGGCTGTTTGAATGAAATGGAAACCTTCTTTCTTTTTTCCTATCTATCACAAGGGGGCCTCGGGCTTAGGGATGAGTTTAGGAACAATTAGATTAGATAACGATGTTCTTTCTCCAATTTTGCTCGCTTGGAATCGAGCTCAAATTTTGGGCCCTCTTCCCGAAGTATTGGTAGCTGAGAACATGCTAGAGATGATAAAGTCAGAAAACAGAACCATGTGCTATACATAAATGACTCTAATATACTGCTACTATTTTTCCTTGGTTTTATATGTAAGTGGGGTCCTTTTTAGGATGTTTATTCTAGAATGGTATGGAAAATTTGGATACCAACATGTACAGTCACAGTCGCAACCAATTGCTATTAATCAGTCTGAGAACACACCCCATGTGATGATTCTAGCCATATGCTCTACTGTTCATCCCACAGTGGTAACCACATTAGCTTAGCCACATTTAGTACACTCTTCACCATTTACTGGTCACCTATATAGACATTTATCAGTCATAGAAGGAAATCTTCTTATTTCCATACCCTTATAACCAACAAAGTTCTTTTAGCTGGAATCGTTCCCATTGAAGTGAAATGTAATAGACAGAGCTATTAAATACGCTTAAAAGTTTGTTTCACAAGAAGGACAACAAGGGCCTTGAGTGCCTCTGATACGTCCATTATCCTAATAAAATTTTAGAGATTTGTTGAGCTCACTTCTCCAGTTGTTTTTGGGAGACAAAAGTAGGCCATGATGTGTATAAGGCTAGGAAGACACACCCATGTGATTGATCATAAGCTAATGCCTCTTAACCATTGAATCTCATCTTTCTTCCTTATCTCCAATCTCTACCTTTGATTGACCTAAGCTCTCATCTATATAAAGGTTATGCCATTTGGGTTCACAGCCAACAAGAGTCTCTCCATATTCCAATTCCCAAAAGAAATTTCCAAGTTATTTTCGGAGCATATTTGAAACATGGGTTTCCGTCTGCCTAGAATTGTTAGTACTAAGCAAAGTCTTCAGCGATCTTCATCGACAGGGAACGGAGCATCTCCAAAGGCTGTTGACGTTCCAAAGGGCTACTTTACAGTTTATGTTGGTGAAGCACAAAAGAAGCGTTTTGTCATTCCACTATCTTACTTGAACCAGCCTTCTTTCCAAGATTTGTTGAGTCAAGCAGAGGAAGAATTTGGATATAATCATCCAATGGGTGGCATTACAATTCCTTGCAGTGAAGACAATTTCCTCGATCTCACTCGGAGTTTGAATGACTCATGAACGAGGGAGATTAGTATCTAGAATTAGATTGTAGAGACAAATGATTAAACTGTACATACTTTTTGGAATGAGAGAACTTGATTCTTTGAATTGAAATTGTTCTACATTGTTCATAGCTCTCTTAATGATCTATCCTATAGTGCAAAACTTTTAAGATGGTTTGCTCAATATCTCAGAAGGAGCCTAATTATTATGATTATCAAAGTACCGATAATGTCTAATCAAAAAGCTGGACTGAGCTTATTACTCATAAATCTACCACAGATTTGTTAAGTCAGGAAACAGAAACATGTGCTATTGATTTGGCTGTGCTGTTCATTTGGCAGTAATAGATGGCCACCATATTTCCCTATCTTCATCTGAAAGTGGGGTCCTTTTTAGGATGTTCATTCTGGATAGTAGTGGATTGTAACCATTCAAGCTCACTGCTAGCATATATTGTCCGGTTTGACTTGTTACGTATTGTCGTAAGCTTCATGATTTTAAAATGCGTTTGCTAGGGAAAGGTTTCCACATCAGTTGGAGAGGTGAACAAAGTATTTCTTATAAGAGTGTGGAAACCTCTCCCTAGCATATGCGTTTTAAAACCGTGAAAACCGTGAGGCTGACGGCGATACCTAACGGGCCAAAGCGGACAATATCTGCTAGCTAGTAGTGAGCTTGGGTTGTTACAAATGGTATCAAAGCCAGACGTCGGGCAGTGTGCTAGCAAGGACGTTGGGCCTCAAGGAGGTAGATTGTGAGGTCCTACATGGGTCAAAGAGAGAAACAAAGCATTCCTTATAAGGGTGTGGAAACATCTCCTTAGTCGACACATTTTATAACTGTGAGGCTAACAACGATACGTACTGAGTCAAAGGGGGCAATATCTACTAGCGATAACTTATTTTAGATTATGCACTTGATTCAAATGAGGTTAGCACCCAATAGCTTTAGTGGGATCCATGTAGGGTTTTTCAACAAGTAATAAGAACCATGCTATTGATGATATATATCAGAAAACAGAAGCATGTGCTATACATAAATGAATAACATAGAATGCAACTATTTTTCCCTAGCTTTATTTGAAAGTGGGGCCTTTTTAGGATGTTAAGTTTGGAATGGCTGTGGATAATATGTTATGTTTTCACTGTTCATCCTGCAGTGGCACCCACAGTAGCAGAGTTTGTAGACTCTTGACTGTTATTGATCATCTATTTGTACACATATTATATGATTCCACGTTCATATCTAACATTTTTTGTGAAGCTTAAGTCTTCTTATGCAGAATTCAAGATCAAGAGAGTCAATATATGGCTATTAGGCTGCCTTGTGTAATGCATTTCAAGTATAGTTTTGGTCGAGTAGCTTCAAATTCTGCTGAATCTTTCTCGGACGACAGGAAATATTGTAATCTATGTAGGAGAGGAGGAAAAAAAGTGATAGTACCAAGGAAGAATGTAACCGTCCAAATCCACCGCTAGCAAATATTGTACTCTTTGGACTTTTCCTTTTAGGCTTCTCCACTTTAAAACGCGTATGTTAGGGAGAGGTTTCCACACCCTTATAAGGAATGTTTTGTTCCCTCTCCAACCGATGTGGGATCTCACAATTCACCCCCTATGGGAGCCCAGCGTCCTCGCTGGCACACCGTCCTGTGTCCGACTTTGATATTATTTGTAACACAGCTCAAACCCATCGCTTGCATATATTGTTCTCTTTGGGCTTACTCTTATGGGTTTCCTCTCAAAGTTTTAAAACGCGTCTGTTAAGGAGAGGTTTCCACACTCTTATAAGGAATTTTTTGTTCCCTCTCCAAACGATGTGGGATCTCACAATCCACCTCTCATAGGAGCCTAGGGTCCTCATTGGCACACCGCCATATGTCTAGCTTTGATACCATTTCTAACAGCCCAAACACATCGCTAGCAAATATTGTTCTCTTTGGGCTTACTCTTCTGGGCTTTCTCTCAAATTTTAAAATGCGTTTATTAAGAAAAGGTTTCCACACCCTTATAAAGAATGTTTTGTTCTCCTCTCCAACCAATGTGGGATCTCACAAAAAATTTGAATATGATCATTCGGGGGAGACCTCGCCCTTCACTCATCTCACTTCATATTATGGAAAAACTTAAAATTGAAGCATATTCATTTTCTTATTACTCAAAAATTGATTGACATAATATTGATTTGATGGCTTACAGATGTGATAGAAATTATATTGGCCAATTTGCCTTGAGCAGATTGAAGGAAAGCTTCCAAATAAGAACTTGACCTTCGGCTTATCTGATCATTACTTCAAATGTCCTGCAATTTGATGTCATAACTGAGAGACAAGAATGATAATCAGATGGCTCATCAATGGTTCGACCGCCGAAATATTAACTGTCGAAAAGTCGAACCAGCTGCTTCGGTTCTATGAGAGACAAGAATGATAATCAGATGGCTCATCAATGGTTCGACCGCTGAAATATTAACTGTCGAAAAATCGAACCAGCTGCTTCGGTTCAATGTCAACATATTAGAACTGATTCACAATTCATTGTGATTATTGATATATGAATGAAACTGAAAGTGGAAAGTATCTGGGTGCTAACAAAGAACTTCATTCCTTCATCCTTTTTTTTTTTTGTTCTTTTTTATTGTTCGGTCCACAGAGACATGCTTCGATATCCTCCATAAAGAAATATACGGTCATGCTTGTCCAGTGCATGTTGCCCATACCACGCCAAACTCTTTATTTGACTTCATGTTGTATTGTCTTACTATTGTATTTTCTGTTTGTAAGGCTCTTTGGCAAAATAATGTCTAGGCATGCCAGACCTGAATTGTCTCAAAATGTACTATAGGGGATGCGACTAGTTGCCAATTCTTCCTACTTGGAGTTCTAAGCTATTGTGTAACCTATAACATTGCTTTCAAACTTTCTTTCAAATCTTGTTGTTTAACTCTTTAAAAAATCTTTCTACCCCTATTCTCTAAAACTTTCTTCTCAAAACAGGGCTAGAGGCTTGAGTATACGTCTCTCAACCGTAGGCGACGCGATTCCGAATTGGCTTGACTCACTCAGTGCTGAGAATGAGTGCCGCACAATCGCTTATAAGAGAATGCGACTAGTCGCCAATTCTTCCTACTCGAAGTTATATGCTATCTAAGTCGTTATGTTGTCTTTCTTGCTAATAGCCTATAATATTGCTTTCAAACTCTTTAAAAAATGTCTCAGCCTCTGTTTTCTAAAACCTTCTTCTCAAAATGAGGCTAGAGTCTTGAGCATACATCGCCTAGCCGTAGGCAACACAATTCCAAAATGACTTAACTCATTCATATTGAGGGTGAGTGCCGCACAACCGCCAATCCACTACCAAGAATGTGCGATTGTGACACTCTACCCCCGCCAAAGAGTATATCCAAATAAAAATTCAAATATAGGCACTCAAGTTACAAAGTTATGGCATTTATTCAATTGTCTTTGTTTCTTTACATCCAAGAACATGCTAACAGTGGGATCTATCTTCTATTTCTATCCTGTACTGTGAACCTTGAGAATTTTATAAATTCTCTGCTAACATCAACAACCAACAAAGTTCCTTAGCTGGAATCTTCCTACCTGAACCAAAATATAAGACATAGCTATTTAATGCAAACAGAACTGTCGCACCAGAAGGACAACAAAGGCTCTTGAATGCCTCTAATATGTCCATGATGCTATTAAAGTGATAGAGATTTATTCAACTCACTTGGTGGTTGTCATCAAGAGACAACGGTAGGCCATAATGTTTCACATGAACACAAAATCATCATAATGGCTGTGAAGACACATCCATGTGATAGGTAATAAGCTAATATCTCTCATCTTTCAGCTATATAAACATCAAGAAATTGAGCTCACAATCACCTCGACTTTCCAACTTTTCGATTCCTTTCAAGGTCTCATACCATGGGTTTCCGCTTGCCTAGCATTGTTCATGCTAAACAAAGTTTTCGGCAATCTTCATCGACTGGAAATGACGCATTGCCAAAGGCAGTCGATGTTCCAAAGGGCTACTTCACAGTTTATGTTGGTGAGGTACAAAAGAAGCGTTTTGTCATTCTGCTATCTTGCTTGAACCAACCTTCATTTCAAGAGTTATTGAGTCAAGCTGAAGAAGAATTTGGATATGATCATCCAATGGGTGGTATCACAATTCCTTGCAGTGAAGAAACTTTTCTCAGTCTCACACAAAGCTGAAGAACTCATGAACCAGAAGGGCTGTTTTACAAACTAGATAGTACAGAAAAAGGATTAGAATAGCACAGAATGTAGACTATAACAATTTTTTGAATGGAAGAGCTTGATTCTTTGAATTGGAACTGTTGTACAGTGTTCATAATGGATGTGTGCCCTTATCACGATCACACTTTTCTTGACGGCGGACTTTGTGATTATGTGACACTCACTTCCCAATACCAAGTGAGTTAAGCTAATTTATATTCACGTTGTCCGTGGCCGGGCGACGTATGCTCAAGCCTCTGAACCTGATTGAGAAAAAAAAAAAATTAGAAAAAGGGGCGGAGAGATTTTGAAAGAGGGTTTGAAAGCAAGATTGAGAGAGATTGAAAACAATGGTATATAGCATACAAGCAAAATGCAAGACAATGACTTAAATAGCATATAACTTTTTCGGGTAGGGAGAAGGCACAAACTTCAAAGACATCGAGCATCATCCATGTTGAACTCGCCCAAAAATTCAGACAAAGGGCTACCCCTTTCGGGCTATTGCTACTAAAACTAATTTAAAACGGTCAAGTATCAAAGATCTCTCCATTTAACATGCATAATATATACTTTTGTTCATACACAATGAACGTATATCCCCCTGCAATCTAGCATTAACAAAACAGGAGCTTCCATATTTCAATTATCAAAAGAATTTTCCAAACTTTAATGATCCTTTCAGGCAGGAATTGGGGTTATCCCACTTGAATCAACCTTCATTTCAAGATTTGTCAAGTCAGGAAGAAGAATAATTTGAATATGATCATCCAATGGGTGACATCAGAGTTCCCTGCAGTGAAGAAACTTTTCTCAGTCTCACTCAAGAGTTTGAATAACTCACAACCAAAGAGATTGATATCTATAGTTTGAATAACTCACAACCAAAGAGATTGGTATCTAGAAATAGATAGTGCAGTAAAAAAATAGGATTAAAAAAGTACACAATGCAGATGGTAAGCATTTTTTTTTTTTTTATGTGGGAGAACTTGATTCTTTAAATTGAATAGGTTTCCATAGTACATATTAGACCTGCAACATGGTGTCAGAGCCTTCATAGCCGATTAAATTTTAAATTTGAAGTCCACTTGTCGATGTAGTTGCCGATCATTTACTGTGACCAAGACTCACCTTTCCTCTTGATTATTTCACCATGATGTTAGAAAAATCTCAAGTGGTTCTTCCAATCGTCAATTCTAAGATTCAGATTTGAAGTATTCAATAATAGAGGGTACCAAGGGCACCAAGGGCACCAAAGGAAGAAAATGAGGGGAAAGAACTAAGATTCCAAATTCGTCAAGGCCCAATTCCCCGATGGAAGAATTGGATGGTACCTTAAAATAGAATTGGTCAAGAATGAAATGTGTGATGACAAGAAAAAGAGGATAAACCCTCTGGTCGTGGGGAACAATCAGGAGTTCAAAAAATTGCTTCATGGAGTCACAATTGCAATTGCAAGTGATGGAGTTCTTCCAAACGTCAAGCAGTTCTCCAAGAGGAGTGAGTACGAGAGAAGCAAGTAATGCATGTGGAAGCACTCCAAAAGGAGTGAGCACGAAAGAAGTCAGCAACGCCCGTAGAAGTGCTCCGTGAGCACGAGAGATGCAAGTAATATCAATGGAAGTATTTCAAGAGGACTAAGCACAAGAGAGGCAAGTATGCCAATGGAAGTGCTCCAAGAGGATAGTAACTTATGTGCTCTTCACAGCTTCAACGGATAGTGCAAACAAAAAGACTTCACAACTTCCTACGTAATGAGTTAACATCCAAGCTAAGAATAAATGATATCTATTTCTCAACTTGAGGGGAGCATCAAAAGAATAACCTTAAGTTAAAGAGATATTTGTGTAATCCCATTAAATAAAGAAAGTAGTTAATCTATCTTTATTGTTAGGATGTATTTAAATTTATCGTTACCTAGTTCTAGAAATTTATTTAGATTTATTATTAGAAATGTATTTAGATTTATTGTTACCTAATATCTACCGATTTAGTTAGTCTACACACACCCAGAAAATTTAATATGAAAAACAACAGATCCAATATCTTTTCCTTTTTTTTCCTTGTGCATCCCCAACCCCCTCTATCTTTCATTCATTATTTCATACAACTCCCTGTTTGTATGGTACAATATAGTTGAATGAAAGCAAGAAAAGTAGGTGTTCTTACTCAGACAATCCTACACTAACAAAAACTTCTAATTGTAATCTATGACCAAAGCCCTTTCCTTCTACAATGATCATACACGAACATCAGCCAAAAACTGAGTTCAACAGTTCCTAATTCAAAGCTTAACAGAGCCTTTCATTCATGACCAGGAAACTAACCTAACCAGAAGACAAATACCAAATGGAAGGAAAAAGAAAATGGCCTCATTGACTACACATGCATCCATTAAAGTCTACAAGAAAAGCAAAGTTACCTCTTTCCCTTTTGCCAGGTAGAGCTTTCCATAATTCTCATGAGGTTCTGACATCAGCAAAACCATCTTTTTGAGAGTCCTGCCATGGAATTGTAAAAAATCCTTGCAATTCAGACACAGTCAAGTTAGAACCACCAGAAAGTAGTGGCTTATATTTCATTGTCTTGTAATGACTTCACGGGAAAACCTAACCTAATCTCTTCCTCTTTTTGTTTCCATGGATTATCCTCCCCCTATTAATTGCTGAATGACCCAAATCCACTCCCTTCTTCTCCTCTCTTGTCAAATTAGACAGCACATTTTGCCTTAGTTTTTTCTTTGCCTATCCTTCCGGTTTACATCCATGCCAAACTCTCCACATGTGAGATCCCACATCGGTTGTAGAGGGGAACACATTCCTTGTAAGAGTGTGGAAACCTCTCTCTAGTAGACACGTTTTAAATCCTTGAGGGGAAGCCCAGAAGGGAAAGTACAAATAGGACAATATCTGCTAGTGGAAGGCTTGGACTGTTACATGTAGTATCAAAGCCAGACATCAAGCGGTGTGCCAGCGAGGACGTTGGGTTCCTAAGGCGGGTGGATTGTGAAACATTTCTTATAAAGGTGTGGAAATCTCTCCTTAGTAGACACGTTTTAAAACCTTAAGGGGAAGTCCAGAAGGAAATGCTCAAAGAGGACAATATCTACTAGTGGTGGGCTTGAGTATACCACTGAAGACCGGTGGACCGACCATGTCTTTTACCCAAGGACCAGGTATCAAACTGTCCATTTCCAATCTTTAGGCAGCTCTCTACTCGCTAATTTCTGATGTTTGTAGGACACAAATGTTTGTCACCTAATGAACACTGTGATGTTTGCAGTCCCAAATCTTAGCTGCAAGTTGGAAGACAATTCCATGTGCATTTCATAATCCATTTCCCAACTCCATTGCCTCTTCACCGCTCAAAAGATCATTATAATTCTAACCTATATATACACATACTAGTTCTATTTCCTGAATCACAAAAACAAACCAACCCAGATCTTCCTTCAAAGTTCGAAAATCGCCCTCCGAAGCCGAAAATCAAAACAATCCACGAAATCAAAATTCTCGAGATACATACCATGGGATTCCGCTTGATAAACAGCCCTAGAAAATCGTCATCGACTGTTCCGAAGGGGTTTTTCGCCGTGTACGTCGGAGAGACCCAAAAGAGACGACATGTGATTCCGATTTCTTACTTGAAGCATCCGTCGTTTCAAGATTTGTTGAGTAAAGCCGAAGAAGAGTTCGGATTCGATCATCCGATGGGCGGCTTGACGATCCCTTGCAACGAAGATGTGTTCTTCGAAGTCACTTCTCGATTGGCGGCTAATTGTTGAAGACGAGAAACTGAAACAGCCATTCATAGATAGAATGTGAATCAACAATTTTGTATAGTAGAAATTCGATCCGTTTCCTTCCTCGTCCTCTTGAAGGACGATTTGCGAAAGGGAAGTTGTAGACTTGTTTAAAATTTGAGCGACTCAACGATTCGTTCTTCGTTATTCTGATCATACGCTATTTCATCGAAACTTCTTCTGAAGTTCATTCGAGTGTTTGGTATCATAATCCAGCATTTAATTCATGTAACAAGTCGGTTGTGTAAATACCGTATTTTGTGGACAATTCAGATGTATGATCCAACATTGAACTATGTTTTGAGAGAAAATGTTTGATAAGACCTGAGAAAAATCGTTGAAAACAAGTTCGAAAGAAAATATTACAGAAGTTACAAGCCGGAGTGATTATAATACTCGGTTAGGGAGCTTTAATGACTACTTGGTCTCGTACGGTACATTTTGAGATGATTCATGTCTAACAGACATGATTTCAATGAACCTCACACAAAAAAATATAATAGTCAAAGGGTTTGATATGACATGGACATGCAGTCATAGAACGTCCTAGACAAGCATGATCGTGACAGAAATATTTCTCGACCATTAGTGGGTTTGTGCCATTGTGAGTTGAGCTACGATACAAGGCCCAAGCTTTTGCAATTTCAAATTAATGCCATTGGCCCAATTGCCATGGCCTATGGTTCCTTTTTAACTCCCTATTTTCGAACCGAGATGTACGAGTTTCACCTTAGAGCTAACCATACTGTCCATCGAGAAGAAAAAAACATCTTGTTGATATAGGTAATGACTTTCAATTTTTTTAAGTATTTCTTAGTCATTCTATCTCCAGAATCTCTCTCGTTTGGATGTGGTCTCGGTTCATTCATGCATCCCTCGTTAACTCGAGTGTCACATTATCGATCTAAATAGGTAAGAAATCTTAATAATATTTTCCATAATAATTGTTACATTTTTAAATTACTAAAGTTTACGTGCACATTAATGTATCATTAATGATATATTATATTATATTTCATTAAATTTTCTATGATATTACCGACATATCGAGATTTAGCTCTATGCAGGTATCGATTTCTCGTGTTGAGGCCTGACAAATGGGTTGTCTAGTTCGATCCTTCCATTAATTACGGCTCGAATCTTGGTTAATTTATGAATGTCAATTTAGGGTTTTAAAGTCTACTTTCTCCACCTATCATTTTTCGTTCGATTTTATCCACGTACTTTTTCCTCTCGAGCCCCCTCGGAAAAAATCGGTTGATGATTACTTATATCAGACTGAACTAAGATTGAACGATTTTTAGTAAAATTATAATAAAATTGAAGCGAATCATGAGACATTTGAATTACTTTTATGACATGATTCGGTATATGAATTTACAAGTTTAGTCCCCGAACTTTTAAATTTAAATCTACTCAGTCTCTAAACTATAAAACGTGTTAAATAGGTTCTTGAACTTTGAAAAGTTTCTAAAACGTCTTTAAAACATATATTTCGTGTCCAATATAATTTTTAATTTATGTTCAGTATCTCGTTAATCTATTCAACATTTTTTTTAAAAATTTATTGATAGTGTAACAGCTCAAGTTCACCGCTAGCCGATATTATCCTCTTTCAGCTTCCCTTCTAAACCCTAAACCATTAACACGTCAGTTAGGGAGACGTCACCACACCCTCATAAGTAATTCTCCGTTCCCCCTCAAAGTTTTAAAACACGTCTGTTAAGGAGAGGTTTCCACACTCTATGAGTAATGTTTCGTTTACCTCTCGAACTAAACCCTAAACCGTAAAAGTTATTAAAACTTAGTAATTTTTAAACCCAATTTCAAAAATTTATAGATTAAATTTGTAATCTAATTTTTTTAACGATAAAAAAAAATAAAAATTATTATACTTTAGGGTCAAAATGATAACGTTGGTGACAAAAATCTAATGTCTAATCAATAAGACTAAATTCTCTCCCGAAAAGAGAATCTGAATTCCATCATTACCTTACAAAATCATGAAAATATTGAAAAAAAACTCGAATTTTCATCATTAGGGTTTAGAATAGATTTCTCGGGAATTTTTTTTTTACCTTTTAACCAACATCGAACATCGTAAAATTTTAATTTCATCAGACTAAACTACAGATATTTGAATTTTACGAGATCTATCCACACTCATTTTAACAAAAAGCATAGTAAAAATATTTATTAAAAAAATCCGTCCACATTATAAATATTCAAAATTTTCTATTATATCAAAAAATATTTACCATATATACTTATTGAACGTGCTCGTGTACCTATTACATTAAATTTTTATGACATCGTTTAAAATTATTTTAAATGAATGTTTCCACACTTATAACAGTCATGTCATGTATTTGATATCGTTACAAAATTTTAAAAATTTATAATTATAGATATTTCGATATATATATATATATAATAAAGAATATAGATGGGACATAAATGTGAATAAGTTTATAGAGTTGTCTTTACAATAAATAAGGAGAGGAAGAGGCTAACGTGGGCTTCATGTGCCAAACAAAAGTGTTGTCAACATCAAACCCTAAAGAAGCAAAATTTAATCTCCATTGCCCCTCTATCTCAACCACCGATTTTATTCGAATAAATACCGGGTCACCTTACAACCCTAATCAACGGATCGGGATTCAAATCTTTACTCTACATATAATTATACACCAAGAAAAGAGATATCTGTCATGATCGTATTGTTTAACCTTTTTACGACCACAGTCGACGAGTTTCTACTTCTCTCGAGAGCGTCGTTCAGATCTTGATCATGAGAATGTAATAACAATAGTAATAAAGATGACCCAAAAAACTCGATCAAACAAATTTACGGTCGGGTTCATTGTTTTGATTAAAAAAATTTACATCTCGAACAACTGGGTTGAGTCTGGAAAATGTCTCAACCTGACCTAACCTAATAACAGACACCCGATAAAAAAACAGAAACAGGAGTACATTTGCCCTATCAATTACGAACAAACACAAAACTACAAAAGCGGGTTTTTTTTTTTCGCTTTTTTTTTTAGATAAGAGAATGTGAGCCATAGAACATGGGGGACTTGGGGAGAGAAAGATGTAACTTTCAAAGTTTTGCTGTAAATGGAGCCACCCGAGCAAAGGCAGGGGTGGGGACGGGGACGAGGACGAGGACGATGTGTATCATTTTTGTACGTACCATTTTGAAAACGAGCTCCGTGTTCGGTTATATTTGTTCGATTTTGTGGCTCAAAATTCAGCATGACCATGTGGGAATCCTTTTTTGACAAAGCTTTTTGTTTAGAGAAAGTTTGATTATGAGTGTGGGGAAATTTTTTCACTGGTTTTTATGGATTTAGAACCCACCAAAGATCTTTTACAGACATATTTTCCTTTGCCCATTTCAATATGTCCTTATAATATGTTACATATATATATATATATATATTGCAATCTATCGATTTCATTCACGGGTTTACTGACGTGACGTTAATCATTTAGAATTGGTTCGACTTTTAATTCAAAATTGACGCTCGTCGTCAATTCACAACTAACGACTCTCTTGAACAACGTGTAAGAAAAAGGATATTTGTAACAGCCCGCTAGCTGCTAGCAAATATTGACGCTTGTTGTCAATTCATAACTAATGACTTTCTTGAACGGAGTGTAAGTAAACGGATATTTGTAACAGCCCACTCACCGCTAGCAGATATTGACGCTCGTTGTCAATTCATAACTGATGACTTTCTTGAATAGAGTGTAAGAAAAATGATATTTGTAATAGCCCGCTCACCGCTAGCAGATATTGACGCTCGTTGTCAATTCATAACTAACGGCTCTCTTGAACAGTGTAAGAAAAAGGATATTTGTAATAGTCCACCCACCGCTAGCAAATATTGACGCTCGTTGTCAATTCATAACTAACATCTCTCTTGAATAAAGTGTAAGAAAAACGATATTTGTAACCGTCCACCCACCGCTGATATTGTCTACTTTGACCCATTACATATTGTCGTCAGTCTCACGGTTTTAAAACGCGTCGGTTTCCACACTCTTATAGAGAATGTTTCGTTCCCTCCTTCAACTAACGTGGGATCTCATAATATTACTCAATTATGAAACCCTTTTAAACGAGATCAACTTTGTTTCAAATTATATATTTAAAAAAAAAAATCCGTACGATCTATCATTTCCTTTGTTAACATCTAAATTTATTAGGGATCGAGAGAATATTAAGAATACATTCAAAAAAATAAAAAACTTCGAGATATACCCATTTCTTGAGATCGAACGTTATCGTTGTTTAGATGACGTAGATCAGGCTGCTTGTTTCATAACAGGGTGGCAAACTGAAACATTCAGGTAGCTCACCTACAACCGAAACAAAACCCGAGCATTTCGTACTTTGAATCTCGTATCTATCGTACATTTTATACGTCATGAATATTTGCATACACATAGCTTTTAATTAAAAACTTAAAATAGGCACATTAATACCAACATAATGTACTATAAAGGAACCCCTCCATTTATTGAAATAATTGTGCCAGCTAGCCCTAATTTTTATTTTTATTTTATTTTATGAAGAGCTACAATATAGAGAGGGAGGTGACATTTATGTGGATAAATATTAATAATTTATGTGAATCCTACCAAATTTAAACAGCTAAAACTAATGATTTCAATCAAATATGAATTAGATTAGATCTTATTAAGAAATTTAATATAAAGTTTTTCGGTGTATTATTTCATATATTTATTACGAGACAACTCGAAAGTGCTTTTCATTCGAGATTATTTTGTTCGGGCATGATTTATAAGGGGGTATGGAGCGTCGAGTGACGTTGTTTAGCTCGTGGAGTCGTTTAATCTGGGTTCAGAAGTTCGTGTTTCCCTCAAATGATTTCTTTTTCATTTTTACATATTATCTGATTTAGGTAGTTCGGAATATTTTTCGGTTTTTATTTTAATTGTTTGGGGTGTTCATATGACTCAAGAACTCGAGAACTCGACAACTTAGACTACCCAACTCAAACCATAAAAATCGGGTTAGGTTGAATTTTTGAAAAATCGAAAGATTTGGATCACCAGATAAAGTTAAAAAGTTTGTTGCAAGTGAATTTGAGCTCGGGTACTAAATAAATTATGGTCGAGTTAGATAAGACCTATAACAACTCAAGGTCACCGCTAGCAGATATTGTCTGTTTTAGCTTGCTATGTATTTCTGTCAGCTTCACAATTTTAAAATACATCTACTAGGGAGAGATTTCCACATTTTTATAAGAAATATTTCATTCCTCTTTTCAACGGATGTGAGACCTCACAATCTACCTTTTGGTGGCCCAATTTCCTCTCCAACCGATGCGGGATTTCATAATCCACTCCCTTGAAGACTTAGCGCTCTTACTGGCACACTGCTCGATGTCTGGCTCTGATACCATAAGTAACAATCCAAGCCCACTACTAGCAGGTATTATCTACTTTGACCGTTACGTATCACTATCAGCCTCACGATTTTAAAACGCGTCTACTGGGAAAAGGTTTCCACACCCGTATAAATAATATTTTGTTGTGGGATCTCATAATTCACCCTCTTGGGGACCCAACGTCCTCGCTAGCACACCGCCCGATATCTGGCTCTGATACCATTAGTAACAACCCAAGCCTACTACAAACAAATATTATCCTCTTTAGATTTTCTCTTCCGAGCTTCTCCTTCAAAGACCTAAAAAACTCGGTTTGACATATTTCTATCTGATTCAAGACAAAAACTTTCTAAAAATTCCACTCGCAAATTATACAACGTCTATTTTAAAATATTACAATTTAAACGAGAGGCGAGATTCCAAACACGTCACACATCGATAGAACTATGAGCTGGGGTCGACGACTTGGTTAATTTTGGTTCATTAATGTTTTATCAAACATTATTCATTATTGATTCCATCATTTTGTCACATTTTACAACAGAAAACATTAATACAAAATACTGTTTGCTGACAATATTTGGTGTGAAGTTGTTTTCTTTTAGACTGACAAATTTAAAAACTATATATTAATTAATTTGTTCTATATTTCTCCTATTTATTGTCACGTTATGATTAAATTTTAAATTTTAATAATTGCAGCTTTTAATGCCATTCTAAAAATAGGACATTAATTTTCCGGTGTTGGAAAATAATACTTTTGGTTTGTTTGCATCAAACTTAGCCCGTACCGACAAGAAGCTGTCCTCGAAAGGAGATGAAATGTAGCCGTCCAAGTCCACCGCTAGCAGATATTCGCTTTGACCCGTTACGTATCGCCGTGAACCTCACGGTTATAAAACGCTTCTAGGGAGCGGTTTTTACACCCTTATAAGGAATGTTTCGTTTCACTCTCCGAGAGATCTCATAATTTTTTCTCAAAAATACCCCTTTATTCCACAGAAAAGCGAGAACTCAAAAGTCTTGTTTATGGTCTTCCTTCTCTTCTGGTTAATCCTGAGAGTCGGGGTCTTTTCTTATTTGGGCAGTCACGGGCTCTTTGAGGTCCTGCTAATGAGTTGTGGATGTAACTGTTATTTGATTCCGACAGCAAAAAATGTTCATGCCTCCTCTGTTCGGGCTGAAGTTCTACTTTCACATAAGAATCGACGAGCTTTTTCAAAAGATTCTAAGTACACTCGAAAGAACTTCGAAACTTTCGAAAAAAATTCAAAAATATCATTACCGTTAGTTCTAGATAGAAACCGTGAATACTTTGATTCAAAAATACCCTTGAACTTTCGAAAGAATATCAAAAATACCTTTAAACTTTTGATAAGAACTTCAAAAACACTTTTAAATTATTTTTTTTTAAAATTAAAAATACATTTACTATTAGTATCACGTCTCAAAAATACTCGTGAAATTCCCAAAGTAATATTAAAACGTTTGTAAATAATCGATGAAATGTTCGTTGTATTGCGAGACTTTCGCCCGAGCAGAGCCAAGGTCAAGCCGAATGACTTGGCCTAACATAGAGGCAAGTCGGATGTGTCGCAGACGATTGAACATGCATGCGCAGGCGGGGTGTGTGGTTGAACAAGCTTGGATTCCGCACAAGCGATGTTCGATTGGCGAAGACAAACCTCGCCTAAGGTTCGGCAAAGCCACAAAGCCAGGGCGAAAAATATACATAGGGCATAATTCCCTTCAAGGCTAGTCGTGAGCATGTCAAGATCACGACGCTGCACGGTAAAAAATGTAGGACCGTGACAGACGATAATAATTTTGTATTTTTTTAATATAATATTAACGATAAAATTATTTTTTTATTTTTTTATTTTTTTATTTACAAGGAATAATTGAAATGGAATAATTAGGTAACATGGGGGAAGATGAATAAATGAGAATATGAAAAGGAAAAGAGAAAAAAGGAATGGAAGGATATATTTGTCTTTATCACACAAAAAATAAAATAAAATAAAATAAAATAAAATAAAATAATATTAATAATAAAGATATAATCTATTTAGCCTGAAATTTCGCCTTAGAAAGTTGGAAGGTTCTCCCATAAACCCCACCTCGTCAATAAATCGCCCAATTTGATTTTTCAAACCCTAAATTTTTATTTTTTTATAAATAATTAAAAATTAATCTAATAATTAATTTGTTGACATTTTCTTTTGGAAGATTAATACTCCAACTAATTCCTTAATTAATTTGATGGGATTGTTCATTTTTAGACCTATTAATTGTTTAATAATTAAAATTTTTAAAAAATAAAAAGAGGGACAAAAAAGTAATTCAACATACACCCGAGAGATTCCAGATATGGCTCTTTTTGAGCTTTTCTTCTACGTTAGCACATACTATCCTATTTGGGCTTTCTCTTTCGGGTAGATATTGTCCTATTCTTTCCTTCCCTTCCACTGTTAGCAGATATTGTTCTATTTGGGCTTTTTCTTTTGCGCAGATATTGTCCTCCTCTTTCTTTCCCCCCACTGTTACCAGATATTGTCCTGTTTGGGCTTTCTCTTCGTGCGCAGATATTGTCCACTCTTCCCTTCCCTCCACTGTTAGCAGATATTGTCTTATTTGGGTTTTTTCTTTCGGGCAGATATTGTCTTATTTGGGCTTTCTCTTTTGGGTTTCCCCTCGTGAGAGATTTCCAATTCGTTCCCCTCTCCAATCGATGTAAGATCTCACCATCCACCCCTTTAGGACCCACTGCCCTATCTGGGTTTTCTCTTTATTGTCTTATTTGGGATTTCTCTTTTGAGTTTCCCCTCGAGGAGAGATCTCCACTTCGTTCCCCTCTCCAATGTACGATCTCACAATCCACTCCCTTCAAGACCCACTATCCTATTTGGGTTTTCTCTTTCGGGCAGATATTGTCCTATTTGGGTTTTCTCTTTCGTGTTTCCCTCTCGAGGAGAGATTTCCACCTCGTTCCCCCTCTCCAATTCATGTGGGATCTCACAATCCACCTTCTTCGAGACCTAGCGTCCTCATTGGCACACTGCCTCTTATCCACCCCTTTCAGGGCTCAGCCTCCTCACAGGCACATCGCTCAGTGTCTAGCTCTAATACTATTTGTGACAGCCCAAACCCACCGGTAACAAATATTGTCTTCATTGTGCTTCCCTTCAAGGTTTTTAAAACGCGTCTAATAAAAAAATGTTTCATTCCTATCTCCAACCGATGTGGGATCTCACATATATGATTCCTTAAGAAAAAATTAAAAGAATTGAGGTTACCACCTCCACCAATAACACGTACAGCTATTTTCAGTGGTTCAATCATAAGAACTCTAAAATTAAGCAGGTTTAGCTCAATACAAAACATGTTGAAATGACTCGGGTTAGTACGTGACAATAGAATTCACTCTGGGAAGCAACAAGTAGGTAACATAACATGGTCATGTCTCGAGAGATATAAGAAAATGTCGGGACCATCAAATACATATGAGAATCCTAAATATCAAGAGAGGAGGAGGAGAGAGAAGAAAGTGATGAAGAAAGCAGAGCCACAAAAGCAGAGGGACCCCATATGTCATTTGGAGGTCCAACAATGGCGACGGCACCCCATGGCCATGGCTCCCACCATTCCTCATCTCTCTCTCAGTACAACTTCCGTGCTCTCTCAATAAATACCTCTCCTTCCACTCCCAATCCCTTTCCAAATTTCCCCGCAATGCCGATTCCCAAGCCCGCCGCTCTCAAGCACATTGTCAAGCGCTGCTCCAGCTTAGGCCGGAAGCAAGACGCCGCCGCTACCGCCACCGCCTACGACGGCGTTCCCAAGGGACATTTCGCCGTCTACGTCGGCGAGAATCGGAGCCGATATGTCGTCCCCATTTCCCTCTTGACTCACCCCGATTTTCAGTGTCTCCTCCGCCTCGCGGAGGAGGAATTCGGCTTCCACCACCATATGGGCCTCACTATTCCTTGTGAAGAGGTGGTTTTCCGCTCACTCACCGCCGCTCTCAAATGAACCCACCACCGCCAAAATGCACAAATCCCTCCATTCTTTTTTATTCATAGTATTATTATTTTTTCCCTTTTAGAGGGGGTTTTTTTTTTTAACTACAGTTTATCACGTGTCGAACGTTTTTTCTTAAAAAAAAAAAGAACGGGTGTAGCTCAAAATGTGTTCGTAAGTACTACCCGATTTAGTTCTTTTAGTGTCGAGACAAAGACGATAGCTATTTTGACTTATGAGCTAAGCTCGGTGTAAAATAGGGTTTGTGTTTTTGTGTAAATATTTAGTAGCATGGGAGATTTTCCTCGTAGTGGTGGATTGGTTTCTTCGGACCCCTATGAGAGATTAAGGTAATAATATTATTACTCCGTCTTATCTTTTAAATTATGTTCATATTGAATATCGGTTAATTTACTGTTCCAGCTAAATTAATAAAAATATTTTTAAACTTAAAAAAAATATTAAAAAATATCTTCAAACGTATAAAAAAAATTAAAAAATATCATTATTGTTTGTTCGAGAGGTAAATCATTCCTTAAACTTTCAAAAATACATTTTCTTCTAAGAGCGTTTCCAAAATATCGTTAAATTTTAAAAAATTTCATTAATATAGTTAATTTTTTTAAAAAAAAACTTCAAAAATAATATTACCGTTAGTATCCCGTTTCAAAAATTCTAATGAACTTTCTAAAAAAGAAAATAATCTATGAGGTGTTGATAGACGATTTCCGCTCATATATTGACAGGTAAAAATAAAAATTTTAATTTTTTAGAAATTCAACTATATTAATAAAACTTTTAAATTTTAAAACTATTTTTTAAACAAAATATTAATGGTTTTCATCTTAAACTCACCAAAATTAATAATAACACTATTTTCGAATTTTTTTTAAAAAAAATTAAAATTTAAGAATATTTTTTTGAGACAAAATACAAAATTTATGAATATTTATTTAATAAATATCAAAGATCTTGTATTATTAGAATTATTATTATTTTTTTAAAAAACCCCAAAATTACAAGAAAAAAAAAATAGTGTATTATTATTATTATTTATTTATTTTAGGGACAATAATGTAAAGAGACAATAAAAGAAACTTATTTTAACCTTTGTTTTAAAGAGTCGGTGGAGGAAATTGATGTTGTTGATCAATTCCCACCAATTAAGCCAATGATTGTTACTATTTTCCATTTTTTTTAAAATATATTCTTATTTTTGACTTATTCGCTATCTTCGACTTCAATTTTCGTTACTCCATGACGTCATATGCTTGAAGCTAACTTGTACGCTACTACACGTAACCTAAAATTACACCTCTATGACAGAACATCATAAATGAAATCAATGAAGGACGGTAGCTCGTTTCCGTAATGCAGGGGTTTTCTAATTCCCGACGATCTTAATAAATAAAAACGAATCAACCCGAACCAACCTGAACTAACCCGAACAGAATTCAGTGGACGAACGTTTTTTTCGAGGACGAGATATTAAATAAAATCGATGAACGTGTGGTGTTGGAAGCAATTAGTTTTACATGGGGGACTGAGTTTGATAGAACAAATCTCTGCCATTTTCTTTATAGAATGAGAGGACCATTGGCCTTAGGGTTTGTGCTTTTCTTGCTGGTCCTATTGTATTATTTACTTCCTCACAATCACACACTTACTTTTATTTCCGTCCACAAAAATTTCTTCTTTTTTTTTTTTTACCATAAAAATTTCGTTTTCACTTCTTTGAAACATTCTATTTTATATCGACCGGAAGGTTTTCAGTTGAAGTTAAATAGTAGGATGCTTTTCGTCGTGATATTATGAACATGGGCAAATCTCTCAATACCGAACTTTTAGGGTTCGACCTACCTAGAGAATGAAATTGAAAAATTACATCCCGACCCAGATATAAAAATCGAATTTTTAGTTGAAATACAGCTTGATATTAAGCTCTGAGTTGAAAGAGACACAAGGGATCAATGATTCTTATTCCTCTGAGTTAAAATACAGCTTGACATTAAGCTCGAGTCACACAGGGTCGATTAGAGAGGGGAACGAGTGCTAGCGAGAACGTTGGGCCCCAAAAGGGGTGGATTGTGAGATTTCACATAGATTGGAGAGAGAAACGAGTGCCAGTAAGGACGTTGGGTCTTGAAGGGAGTAGATTGTGAGATCCCATGTTAATTGGTGAGGAAAACGAAGCATTCTTTACAAGGGTGTGGAAGCCTCTCCCTAACAGACACGTTTTAAAAATTTTGAGGGAAAACCCAGAAAGGAAAGCTCAAAGAGGACGATATCTGCTAACAGTGAACTTGGACTGGCTTAGAAGATCCATGACGTACTTCTGCTGAGTTAGATACATACCCACTTTTGAATATTTACATAAAATCGAGACATCGATATTTAAAACATTAGTTCATATCATAATTCAACGATAAATGACGTATACTTCTTGGTAAACGGGAATTAAATAAGATGGGGACAAGATGTCTAAAGCAATTATGCTTTAATTGCAAAAAAGGGTCCTCACAAGTCTATCAAATCAGTTTTCAGATCAAAAGTGCTGGAAATTTTATTATTATGCCCTTCTTATTTTCCAGTTGTCTTCATGTTCTTTCTGCATTTTTGTCTATCCACCCATTGTCCCACCTCAAGTACACACCCTTTTCAATCAAACCATTTAAAAGACAACACCAAAAACTCGGATCGGGTTGAGCTACCACTGTTTATTTCAGATGTTCATGTCCTGAATTCGTAACCCTGATCGTTAAATAAGTTGATCGAGTTCAATTAGGGTTGTTTAGTTCATATGTTTATGTTGGGGAATTCGTAACCTTGATCGTTAAATAAGTTGATCGGGTTCAGTTAGGGTTGTTTAGTTCAGAAGTTTATGTCGTGGAATTCGTAACCCTGATCGTTAAATAAGTTGATCAGGTTCAGTTATGGTTGTTTAGTTCAGATGTTTATGTCGTGAAATTCGTAACCCTGATCGTTAAATAAGTTGATCGGGTTCAGTTAGGGTTGTTTAATTCAGAAGTTTATGTCGTGGAATTCGTAACCCTAATCGTTAAATAAGTTGATCGGGTTCAGTTATGGTTGTTTAGTTCATATGTTTATGTGAAATTCGTAACTCTAATCGTTAAATAAGTTGATCGGGTTCAATTAGGGTTGTTTAGTTCATATGTTTATGCCGTGGAATTCGAAACCCTGTTCGTTAAATAAGTTGATCGAGTTCAGTTAGGGTTGTTTAGTTCAGATGTTTATGCCGTGGAATTCGTAACCCTGATCGTTAAATAAGTTGATGGGGTTCAGCTAGGGTTGTTTAGTTCATATGTTTATGTTGTAGAATTCGTAACCCTGGTCGTTAAATAAGCTGATCGATCGAGTTTGTAAAACTGATATTATACCGAACATGCTAATTAAATCTGAAACCCTAGCATGTGCTAAAAGGGAAAAAGAAAAGGAAATCGAGCTTTTGAAACGTGTGACGAGTTGAATTCCAAGTCAAGCATGACACCTAAAAAATATAAAATTTGATGGGGTTGGTTAGAGTTGGATAAGGTACTTAATATCATTATATGTATTGCATGTGCTTCTATCTACCTTTATTTGACTCTCGGCCTTTTATTGAGCTAATCAAGCTTGATTTATTCGAGAGAGATTTTCGGTTTTAGGGTTTGGGTAGCAAAACCGACCCTACAAAACTTTAGACAATGACCCACAATTGTAAATTATTTTCAAATTTGTTAATTTTAAAATATACTCTTCTATAATTCAATATGAACAGTATGTGACGAACAGACTCGGGAAGGGCAAGAACTAGGACTATTGTTTCTATCGTGATAGAACAGTCCAAACCTGCCATTAGCAGATATTGTCATCTTTAGGTTTTCCCTTCAAGGGCTCTCTCGTAAACTGATAGAATAAACCAGAGTGACAAATATGTTAACTCGAACAATTGGATTGGATCTAAAGAATGTGTTAACTCGACCCAACTCAGCTCATGAACACCTCTATGGATTACGTATTATCTTAACGGGTTGAGAAGATTGAAACTTTTAAAACCGTAGAAACGATGTCGAAAATCAAGACGCTTTGGTTTGATTTAAAATATATAGAAATGAGAGAGATGGGTAGGGTATCCCTTGTCTATGCTTTCCATCTCTCTTTCTTCATAATTTCTTTCTCTTAGTCAACCTTTGCATGCTCTTCTTCTCTTCTTTTTCTACGTTCGTCTATAATAGTTCAAACCCGTATGAGATGGATTACGGTTACGGTCATCTATAATAGTTCAAACCCATTTGAGATGGATTAGGGTCGGGTAGTTCGAGTCATATGAACACTATTTCCATTCATTCGCTCTCCTCTCCAATCGACGTGGTATCTCACAATTCTTCACCCCTTCAGGGTCTAGTGTCCTCGCTGGCACTCATTTCTTTTTCCAATCGATATGAGAACCCCACAAAATCCACACCCCTTCGGGACCAGCATCCTTACTGGCACACCGCCTCATGTCTACCCCCTTTAAGGAAGAGCCTCCTCGTTGGCACGTCGCTCCTAATGTCATCGCTAGCACTCATTCCTTTTTCCAATTGATATGAGACCCCACCAAATCCACCCCCTTCGGGGCCAGCGTCTTTACTGGCACACCGTCTCATGTCTACCCCTTTCGAGGAAGAGCCTCCTCGTTGGCACATCACCCGGTCTCTAGCTCTGATACCATTTGTAACGACCCAAGTCCATCACTAGCAAATATTGTCCTCATTAGGCTTTCCCTTTCGAGCTTCCCCTCAAAATTTTTAAAACGCATCTTGAGGAAGAGGGTTCCACACCCTTATAAAAGGTGTTTCGTTCTCGTCCGAGTGTCCTCCAAAGTTTAAAGGATTCAAAAGGGGCCTCCAAAAAAGGCTTAGATTCATAGCTTTTGAAGGGAGAGGGTCATACAAAAGCCTCAAAGCCCAACATCTAGAGGCCTAACACCTCATTTAATCTTAATTAAATCAAACCCTAATTAATATGCTTTATATATTCCCATAAAGTGGGACTCCCAAATGGACCCACTAAATCCTACGTGGCAGCTCATCATTGGCTTAAACCTTAAGGATATTATTTATTTAATTTATCTTGCAATAATTTAGGAACATTTCAATCAGCCTGTCAACCTAAAGCTTATCTCCAAAATTAAAATCATAATCAATCAAATTACCAAAAAAAAATTAAATTAATTAAATTAAATTAAATTAAATTAAAAAGAAGCTTATCTCCAAAAATCAATAATTCAATACCTTTCATTAAAAAATT